TTCACGCCAATAGTCTCTCAATTCCCAATCTTCTTTCATGTCAAAGAAGGCTTTAGGTAGCTTAGCCTGTTTAAAAAAAGTAGAAGAGCCTTTTTTATCCTTTTGTATATCTAAGACACCATTCCAGTCTCCCATTAAAATCACAGATCTATAGTCCAACAAGGTTATTTTCTGATGTAGCAACCTGTAGAATTGCTCCTGTTGCTGGTTTGGTGCATACAGCCCCACGATAAGAATTTTCTTGCCATATAAACCAAGTTCAAGCATAACATATCTTCCATGAGGATCTGATTCTAACAGGATAGCAGATAAATTCTTCTTAACTTACTTATTAGAGTATTTAGAAAAGAATAACCAAGTCTCTGCAGGCTTGATATTTTTGGATGCTGAAAAAGCCTTTGACCAAGTGAACTGGCAGTTTATGTTATGTTTAATTAGGGAGATGAATTTTGGACAAAATATATTACAAGTACTATCTAATATATATCAAAAACAGACTGCTCAACTTATTGTAAATGGGGGTTTGTCAGAGGCTTTTGTAATAGAAAAAGGTACAAGACAGGGATGCCCGTTATCCCCGTTATTGTTTGTTTTAACATTGGAAATATTGTTGATTAAAATTCGGGAGTCTCAAGAAATAAAAGGAATAGAAATTAATAAAAAAGAATATAAATTAAGAGCCTTTGCAGATGACTTGGTTGTTACTTTGTCTCAACCTATTTGTTCGGTGGTAAAATTATTACAATTGATCCAACAATATGGACGTGTTTCTGGTTTTAAAATTAATAATAATAAGACCAAAATATTAGCTAAAAATATGACTAATGGTGATAAACAGGTTTTAGTTAAGTTAACAGACTTTGAAATTGTTGATAAGGTAAAATATTTGGGGGTTACATTATCTGCTTCCAATGCAAAACTGTATAAAAATAATTATGAAAAGTTGTGGACGGAGATACAGAAGGATTTAAAAAATTGGAACAATTTACAGTTATCCCTTATGGGTAGAATTGCAGTTATTAAAATGAATGTCCTGCCAAAGTTTATTTTTCTGTTTCAAATGTTACCTATTTTAAAGAGTGATCGTAATTTAGATGAATGGCAAAAAGGTATTAATAAATTTGTTTGGGCAGGGAAAAAACCAAGGGTGAAACTTAAAATAATGCAAGATTTTCGTGAGAGAGGTGGACTCAAGGTACCAAATATGAAATTGTATTATGATGCTGTAGTATTAACATTGATCAGCGATTGGGTGAATTTAACAAATATAGAAATACTTCATTTGGAAGGTTGGGATTTACTTTTTGGATGGCATGCCTATTTAATATTTAATAAAAAAGTGGATTGGGTTTTTAAGTCTCATATTATAAGAATCTCTTTGCTTAGAGTGTGGAGGAAGTATTATAAATTTGATTTTAAAATACCATTATGGGCTATACCTCGGCATGCCATAGAAGGTATAAGGAAAGGGGTTAATATGGATATGGTTTCTTATGCACAGTTACTTAGATGGGATGGCCAAGACTGGCAGTTAAAATCTTTGGAAGAACTAATACATGAAAATCTAACTTATTCATGGTTCCAATATAGACAAATAGTGGACAGATGGAAGATGGATTGTAAAATGGGCTGGCTTAGAGAAGATGAAACTCTTTAAAACAAGTAAGAGATCAAAGGCCAACCCATATTAAGAGAGTTTATGGGGTTTTAGTGGAATTGGATTCAGAATCTGAATTAGTTAAAGATTGTATGATTAAATGGGCACAGAATATTGGTGAATTGATTTCAATGGATACTTGGGAACTTATTTGGACAAGAAATGTTAAATTCACACAAGCGCAAAATTTAAGAGAGAATTTTTATAAGATGTTTTATAGATGGCACCTTGATCCAAAGAAAATGTCCATTATGTACTCTAATTTACAGCCGAAATGCTGGAGATGTGGACACTTGGATGCTACTTATTATCATATCTGGTGGACGTGTAAGCATATAAAAGCTTTTTGGATTAAGATATGGTGGAATATTCAGAGAATTTTTAGAAGGAGGGTAAAATTTACTCCGCAATTATTTTTATTAGGTATTGTTACTGATTGTGATGCTAGGGAGGTTATATTGATGCTAAATTTGATTACAGCCGCTAGGCTGTTAATAGGACAATATTGGAAGAAGGAATCCTTGCCTATTTTACAAGAGTGGTTTTATAAAGTTTCGTATTTGGCAGAAATGGCAAAGATTTCGGCTTTTTTAAAGGAGCAATCTCAAGAGAAATTTTTTGCGGTATGGGAAAAATGGATAAATTTTATACAACATAATTTAGATATGGAAAAATATTATTTAGCCTTTTTATAACTTGTAATGATTGTTTTTTTTCTTTCTTTCTTTCTTTCTTCTTCTGTATTATTATTTATATACTTTTCTATATATGTTTTATTTTTCGCCTACCTCTTTCTTTTTTCTTTCTCTCTCTCTTTTCTTTTTCCCTTTTTTCTTCTTCCTTTTTTTACGTATATTATTATTATATATATTATTATTATGATTTTTATTATTATTATTAATTATCTTATAAATTGTATACGTTATTTTTTAAAATTTGTTAAATAATCCTATACTCAGTTCTGGGAAGTCGGGGGGGGGGAGGGCGGGGTGGTTTGGGAGGGGGGGGTGGATGTTTATTTGTAAAATTTTTGAAAAAAATTCAATAAAAAAAAATGGGGCAAAACTTGCTTAACAAATGTCTCACTGAGCAACAGAAGTGTTGGGCTCAAATGTGGTCATAAGTCAAGGAGTACCTGTACCCTACTTAACCACAATAGTTATGCTAAGGTTTTGTGCTTTTAGATCACTTGCAGTCTAAAGAAACCTATTTCATCAATGTAAGGCATTATAAGATAGGAAAACATTTTTATAATTGTTGAATTTGCTCAATGATGTATAGAATTTCTTGATTTCTAGCAGATGTATTGAAGTGTAGTTTTATTTTCATAGTTTTTGTTCCTTCTCTCAAAGATAAGCTGTACTTCCCAGCCATACTTCTCATTCAATTATCTCTGCTGAAGATGTGGCACATTTTTCTTGTTTCTGCCTGTTGGCCCTATTTTAAAATTATTTTTCCAGGAGCGAATTCAATGTAAAGAAACAATATTTGTTGCAATGCTCAGTAAAGGGATGAAGCAAGGATATCTGGAAAAAAAAACCATAACCTTGCAGTCTTTCTACATTCTTGGCCTACTTTCTCAAAGTTTCTGATAAATCTTCTGTCTTGCAGGATTATAGTGTAGACAGAGAACATCAGGCACAGATATAGCATGCTGAATCATCTTCCACTTTATATGGATGATCCTGCTGCAGCTTGAGTGACAGACCACCGACCTTGGTAGAAAAAACACCATGCCAATTAGAGGTTGTTAACTCTCAAGGTCAGAAGTACTTCTAGACCTGGCAGAATTAACACCTCATTAGCAGCAACAGCTTGAGTAAAGATTGTACTCTTCTATGGTTTAGCTGGGCAAACCCCACTTGATGGGAACAACTGTTGTATCCAGTTTCTAACCTAGATCAATTCTTGCTTATTCCAAAGTTTGTTATAGAGAATACCACTTCCAGTGGTCCACTGACCTTGGATTACATTACATTGAAAAGAAGGACTAGGGGTGACATGATAGCAGTGTTCCAATATCTCATAACTTACCACAAAGAGGGAGTCTAGCTATTATCCAAAGCACCTGAAGGAAGGACAAGAAGCAATGGATGGAAACTAACCAAGGAGAGAAGCAGCCTCCTAGAACTAAGAAGACATTTCCTGACAGTTAGGCCAATTAATCAGTGAAACAACCTGCTCCAATACTGGAAGTTTTTAAGAAGAGATTGGACAACCATTTGTACGAAATGGTATAGGGTTTCCTGCTTAAGCAGGGGGTTGGACTAGAAGACCTCCAAGGTCCCTTCCAAATCTGTTATTCTACATTACCACCCTTCACAGTTCCCTCTTGATTCTAGAACTTGGTATGCAAACAAACACACAATGTTCTTCCATCTTTCACTTGCAGGCAAATAAATGTGCAAATATATATTCAACATTCACTTTAGACCTACTGTTTGCACTGGCAACTTGATGCACAAACAACTCTCATCCGTATTCTTACACCTTCATTTGTTTACTTGGCATTTCAACACCTTCTATGGTTTTCTGTAGCTAGACTAGGAAAGCTTGCTTCTAGTTTAATTCAGATTCTCAGAAAGGAGAAGTTCTGAAGGACCAGAAGATATAAATAGTTATGGTATTCACAGATGTGCAGCCACAAAAAAGCAGATCCCACAATGACAAAAATGCTGAGTTTCTGTTCCAAAAAAGTCTGAGGGGCATTCCAATGTATTCCCCATATTTTTGTTTCAGTGCAACTTGCTATTATCACATTATCATACAATAATTGGGAACTTTCCTCAAGCATAATAATAACCTTATGACAAGTCCCACAGCCAAATAGGCAGTTCCATACCTTGGAACTGAAAGACTATTACTCAAAAATTAGTGTACATTTGTGGAGGAGTTTTGATGTGCAGTTGAAAACGTTGCTAAAATAGAAATTGCTAACAGGGAAATATGTCTGCACCTAGGGAAGCACCCAATGATGCAATATGTGACCATCTCATGCTCTCAATGTGTTTTTACCCATCTATTGAGTTCTTTCCAAGAACCTGGGATAGGCAGATATTATTGTTTGATGATGATGATTTGGAAAAATATTGATTAGCTCTTCCATTACACTGATATAGAACTTATTAAGCAGAAAGCATACACAATTATTTGCTAAATAAATGCATTTAAAACTGACCTTGGATAAGTTATGAAACAGCTATTAAGAAAAGACTTGGATAAGAGATTACACAGTCCAGAGACAGAAGCAGAGTTTATTGGAGTGGGCATCCATAATACATTCAATAAATAATAAGAAACTCAAGATAATCCAACTTTGATTTTCTCTAGTATATAATGGGACAAAGAGACACTTGGATAAGCTTTCAAGACTCTGTTATTATGCCCTATGTTAATAAAGCAGCATTCCTGGAATGGCTGTTTTTGACTTCGCATACCTCAAAAGGCTGACAATTGGTGATCTAAGATTGTAAATCTGGTGTTGCATTGTCTTTCCAACAATGATGTAATTGCTTTTAGTGTTTTCCTGGTTTGGTGAATTTATAATTCTTATGTAGCCATCATTTACCAACCACTCATTCAGCAACTGTTTGAAGTTGTGATGGTGCTGAATAAGTGTTACTTAAAACCAGTCCATGAAGCTCTGGCTTTCACATCATCTTCATAGTTATGTGATCATAATTTGGGCACTTGTTAACCAGCTTGTGCTTATGATTGCAGCACTTTCTTCACCAGCTTTTGATCACCATTTGCAACTTTCCCTGCCAGTTTTCCTGAAGCAAAATCAACGGGAAAGCAAGTAGGGAAGATCACATGTTGATCCTATAATTCCACTGTTCTTGCTTCCTCTATCCTTCCTGCCCTCACTCACAACCTTACTGAGCCTTCCCAGGCCTCCCCCCTCAGGGACACCCATGCTCCTTCCCCATGCTCCTTATCTGGGACTCCAGCCACCTCCTTAAACATCTTCAGTGTTCAAATTGAGATTACTGTACATCAGAAAATCTGGATTTAAGTTTATCATATGAATAAAAATGAAAATCATCCTTGCACTATAATGATAGAGATGTATATTTCCTGAGAACAATTTATAAAGCTATCAAATGAAATAAAGCAAGCAGACCCCTGCCATATCAAGGGATAATGCTAGGAAGACGATTGAAAGAAATAAAGCCTTTGCTACTCAAGGGGGAAAAAAAATCACACTGCTACAATTACTGCGGTTAAGTCATGTGGCAGAGTTAAATATAAACAAGCCAATAATATTTCGATTTAGCGATGATGGTGCGGTATCCACAAAACTGAATAAACCTTGAGGATAACACAGGTAATTATGTGACAGGAACAATCATCTTAATTGTGAACGTCTTGGGACCAGCGCTTTTTGAAAGCGAATAGTCTAGAAACAGCAACACTCCGTATTTATTGGGTTAAACCCGCACCGAAAACAAAACGCTGAAAGCACCGCTGAGGCTAAAGAGCATCTTTAAAACCAGCAAGAAACAAGGCCGCCGTTTTGGCTAAAACCTGTTGATAAGCTACTAAGCCGTTGCAATTAATTATCCAGACAATATTCTCGCTCGCGGTCCTCAGATGAAGGGAACGAATCAGGACCCGGTTAACGCGCGGCGACAAAGAAAGGAAAGTTGGTGAGCGCATTCCTGCGTGTGAGGCAACGACTCCACGCTTCCTTCCCTAAAAATGTACATTTTTGTTAGAGAAAAGGTCACACGGGTGTGCGGTAGGCGGAGCTGGAGCGCTGCGGGGAGGGAGGAAAGCGGGCGGGCGAGCAGCGCTGCCTCCCGCGAAGTGGAGTCTTTAGGGATTTCTCGGTGGAACCAGCCGCGGAAGGGAGTGTGCGGGGCTGAGTGCGCGCGCGCGCAGAGCAGCCGCCGGGGAGTTGCGTCTGCCTTTGCCGAGGGAATATGCTGCTGCGGTGGTGGCTGGCTTCTTGTTGCCAAACGGCGCCTGGAAGCCACAAGCGGCGGACGCAGCCCTTGGCGTCTTCTAGCCGGGGACCGTAGCGAGCGTTCCTCTTTCGGCGCAGCTTCCTTTCTTCTCTCCGCCCGCGGGTGCTGTAGCTGCTTTTCGCTTCTCCGCCTCTTCCTGGGGATCATGGAGGAATCTCGGTCTGGCATCCTTGCGGAGAATCTGCCAAGCGGCAGCAGCGGCGGCCAGGAAGGTCCGATCCTGGCTTGAGGAGACTCAGACTACCCTCCTACTCTTCTAGCGGTGGGTATTTGCTACTGATGAGCCCGGGCCAGGCAAGATTTCCAGCCTGGGTGCATGAAGCGCTAAGGGGCGGGGGAGAAAAAGAACGAAGCAACCTCCCGGCTCATAGAAATGCTGCATCCATTCCTACTCCTTCCTCCCCCTCCCCCCGATTAGCATTGGAGGAATGGGCGCCTACTCGTAGTACGTCGGCGGAGACAAGCAGAGCGCTTGAGGAGCAAGCGCATTTGTTTAGCTGGCTTCAGCAAGCTCCTTTTTTTTTCCAGCCTGGCGATCCGAGGCGACGAAGCCAGAGTTCAAGCAGGCATTAAGGGTGCTGATTCAGGATGTGGGTGTGGCCACTGCCCGTTCCTTATCGGGGCCGCTTAGTTCACTTCCCTGCGTAATATGCTGACTCGCTAATGCTGTACTTAACTAGAAAATCATACCTGCAAGTAGGCGTTTCAAGAGGTCACATTCCTTTTTTTTTTATGAAGGGGTCTAGCTAAAAGATGAAAATGGAAGTGCCTGTGGATTCCATTTATTGGAGGAAAAGATCCACCCATGATGAGGTGCAGTTTGAACTGTCACTCCTCCCTTTTCAGGGTTTGTTTACAACTGTTCACCAGAACTCAAGTCGTTTAAAATTTAAAAGGGGAGACTTGTTATTTCCATATCTGGCAAATTCTCTCTCTCTCTCTCTCTCTCTCTCTTTCTCCCTCTCCCCCTCCCTCTCTCCCTCCATTCTCCCCCAGTGCGTAAGGTTTTCAGGTCTTAATGGACAAATTGATAATTTTTGGACTTTTTCATTAGGATTTGTGCTGTGCCTATCTCTGTTTATCATGCATATTAAAATGCACCATTGATGACATACACTATCTTACATATATAAATATAAAGTATTTGCATTATGGTGCATTTTTCTATTTCCAGTTTTAGGTTTACTGATATAATCTCCATCTTTGGAGCTTTAATAGACATATTTTCAAGGATTTGAATGAAATATACCTTTAATCAGTATGACAATTTAAACAACAACATAGCAATATTGTCCATCTTGAGCTAAATGTGCAAATTTAAAAAACATTACTCTCTTCTGCCTGAATAATATTCTACAATCCTTTCAGTTTGGGAATAGTTATCTATTCCTAGGTCCCAAAGGTGTTGGACATATTGGACTTAATGCACGTAGTTCCAAAACAATGGGATAATGATATAACTCCAGATGTTGCTGAACTAAATTCCCACTTGATTTAGCCAATATGGCCAGTGATGAGAGTTTTATTGTTCATGAATATATTGAAGACTAATTGAAACTAGACAACCCATTGGGTCTATTGGGTCACTGTTTCAGAGATATTTCCTTAAACAGAAACAGAATGACCCCTGGTGGGCAAAAAAGCAGTGGGAGTAGGAGCAACTTCCAACTTCCTGTCAGCTTCCGCATTGAGTTTCCTTGTGGGAAATTGACAGGGAGTGTTGGAAATGATGATCATGTGACCATGACTGGTGCAACAGTGTGGCAACACTAGAGCAACCCACACCTTTGCCAAATTTCAATCCCATAGGAGTTATGGGCCTTATGGGATTTTGGGTATATTTTTTAAGACAGCCCATTTGAGGCACATTAATTCCAAAACTGTTACTCCATGATGTACGGGTTTGCCCAATTGTAGCTTACAAACAGAGTTTTAGTATAGAGATAATGAGAACTAAAGTTCAGCATTGCATCTGTTCCTTTCACAACAGTGTTGTGAGTCCACAGATATTATTCAGCTCTTTTATTTTTCTTCTAATTGATTTAATTTCTCCTATAGAGTTAAATCAGGTTATGGTATGATTAAGTTATCCTAATTTTTCCTATTATATTTTATTTTTATTTTTGGTTCACATTTTTTCAAAATAAAAAAAACAGAGATGGAAATAATAAGGGACAAAGTGATTATAAGTATTAGAGATGTAACTCTCTGATACTCTTTCTGTATTCCAGTGATTTTTAAAATTTTTAATCCTTTTTACTTTGATTTGATGCATACTGTATATATTTGGGCTTACCTGAAAGCCAGTTTGTATAAGACATAACCCTTAAGAAACTAACATATTTATTAGAATATTTTGGATAAGCTAGTATAATGCTGATAATTTACATTGGAAAACTGACTGACATTGTTTATGATATATGTTTATAAATAATCATAGAACAAAAATATGTTCATACAGAGATCAATTTCATGTTTTTAATTTTTTTCTGCAACATTCTGTTACGAATATAGAATTTGATATAGATTTGATTGTGGTTTATTTTTTCACATTTTATTTTCTATTCTATTTTCTATTTGAGCAACTAGCTTTCTAGAGTATACAGGGGTGATATATCCAGCAATTACAGTGATTTGTTTATATCTAATAATTTTAAATAGCACATATTACCAATTAATTGCTTTTTATTTGCTTTAAGTGATTGTGTTTATAGAGTCAGAGAATAAGTAAAGGCCTTTTGAGGTGGATCTTTTGATTATAAAGCAAGAATAATTATTTCACATAGTTTAAAATCAGCATGTGCAAAAAGACAACTCTGTATAAAATGAAACTCGGGGTGTGTTTAAGGAAACACAGAGGCGAGGTCTAAATCAAGGTAAAGTTTTTCTAGGGTTTCAAAGTATACTTTTGTAAGTTTTGAATGTGAAAGACTATAAAAATATTGCAAATAATTACATGGTATAACTGTGTTAACCTGATGAGTTGAACAATATCTGAAGTTAGTTCTGACCAGCATTTATTGCCTTAATTCTTAATAAACTGACATAATGATATAAGGTAGGATAGGATAAGAAAGGAAAGGATATCAGAAATCAATAGGAAAATAGTACTGGGCACACATGGAAGTCCCACAAAATTGTTACTTTGGCTCAGATATACCCACAATACTGGAAGGGGAACAATATATAATGATACTACTCATTATATGCAGTACAGCAGAAAAAACAGCATCTTGGAATGGGAGAAAATTAGGATTAGAGGGATAATGAAGAACCTGCCCTCTTTAAGATTATTGTTTGAGAGAATGATAATAAAAAAAGAACTTCTCCTTTTTGTTCTGCCACAAAACAACACTGCACTTAGTTTCTGGGCAAATAGCCAGCAGCAGCACTGAGCTTTTAGCATTGTAACACACAGCAAGGGTGACTCAGGATGGTGGAATAAGAGAACAAAATTAATATTCCCTCCCTGAAACCTTCCTCAGCAACTTTGTAATCCAAACAGCTGGTTTTTGAAACAATAGAAATGTGCATGTGATATACATTTGATAGATAGATAGATAGATAGATAGATAGATAGATAGATAGATGGATGGATGGATGGATGGATGGATAGATTGATTGATTGTCAGGAACCCAAGAAGGAACAATAGTTCTTTTGCAAAAAGAATGAGTCAGGATACGGAGCTCCACTAAAGTTGATATTTTATGGATTATAAATAAGAGATGGGATATGAGAGGAAGATGTATTTGTTTGTAATCTTTGTTTATACTTACGGTGCAGGTCACTTCTTTCTATATTTCTTTTCTTTTTTTCATAAACTGCATTTATATCAGCTGCAGGATCCTTCAGTCACATGATTGTGATCTGCAACCATCCCAGCTGGCTTCCAACAAGCAAAATCAATGGGGGAAGTCAGATTCATTAATAACACTATGATTCACTAAACCACTGCAGTAAACAATGAGAGGAAAATAAGGGCTGGGTCATGTGATGACTCATGTAATGACTGCATCACTTAGTGGCCAATTGTATAAGCCAAAGGCTACTTGTATGGATGATAACTTCTGTATTAGAGATTTGTGAGGACAGGAAGCAAAGCTGATTTGTAGGATCAATGTGGGCAGTATTTTTGGGGTGGCTGAGCCTGCAGTGGAGGAAAGAATAGATTGGCATGGTTTTTTTTGGATGAGAGTACTAATGCAATAGATTTTCAGAGCTTACAGAAAAGAGAGGAGGATACGTCAAAGAAATCAGTGTGCCACAAATCAGTATCATCCTGGCATTTGCTTTGTCATTTCTAAAATATGATGGCCTGTGCTTCTCTAGCAAGTGCTACATTAATCAAGTTGCCTTGATCTTGAGCCAGAAAGCAATTAGGCTGTCATAAGGAAATTGACCTCATTTCCTGAAAAATGCTCTTAGTCAAAATGCTGAAGTGCTGAGACACTGGTTTTATCCATTGAAGGTGGTGTTGTTAGGCCATATTTCAATCTTCGTTTACTGAAAGGCATGTATATATATTATAGCTTTATATTGCTTAGGGCTAGTGACATGGAGCCCAATTGAACTATTGTTGTGATTTCTCGCCAGCCTGTGGATCCGGCAGCTGAGTCTGTGGAATCAGATGAGGAGGAGGGGCCTGGAGTGACATTAGAGTCAGAGGAAGGCTCTGAGGAGCTCCAAGACTTACAGTTGGACGAGGAGCCTGGCCCCTCTACTTGCGCTCAGGCTGAGACCCAGCTGTGTTGGGAGCCTGAGTTGGACAGTGATGAAGAACAGCTGGGAAAAATCCAGGATGCACGAAGGCGCAGACAAGAGAAGCAAGTAGAACAGAGGAATGCAGTGGGACAGCTCCAAAGGCAAAGGAAAAAGCATTAGGAAGCCACACCTTGGCTGAATTATAAAAGGGAAGGTGTGGGAGGTGCTGGTTGCCAAAGGCAACTGTTTGTGTTAAGGATCAAGTTTCTGTGAACTGTGTTTGTTTGCCTTGACATTGACTCAGGTCTGTAAGAATAAAAGGGGTTGTTTTTTTCTTGTGGTTTCTGTCTAGTTGTTGGAAGAGGGGTTTCTTCTTGTGAGCATAATAAGGACTCTTGTAGGCTGGCACAGAACAACTATTTCCTATTCTGGTGGTAGAAAAAATACTGCATGTGGGTCACTAACATTTTGGAATGGGTTGAAGTAGAACTGTGGCTAATCTATACATGCAAGATTGTCTGGAAATAGGTTGTATTTATATTTATACTATACTATTTTATAAGGCCGTGCAGTGCTTCAGATTCATCTTGGAAGAACTTTTTCAGAACATTCAGACTGCAGCCATGCTGTCAGGAAAACTGATATGGCTTCTTTAATGAGTCAAAGATAAGTGCTGTGTTGGTACTCCTTGCATATCCCGAAAATCTTTCCCAAACTGAATTCAAAGCAAACCACAGCCTTATTTTGTTTCTTTAACCATGATGGCCTCCAGATCTGTTGGACTACCGTTTCAAGAATATTAAATCAGCATGAAGGGAAAGTGTTTTTTAGAGAGCTATATTTGAGCAATTGCTGTCAGAGTTATTGTTGAGCACAGATGATTCATGAGTACTAATGAACACTTATATAATAATTTTGATAAAATAAATCAGTAAAGCCCATAATCACAAAAGAAGACATTGATGTATTCATTAATAGCTTGATATAAAATTGCTTTATATTTGGGTTATTAGGTTCATCCTAGAGCAGGGGTAGGCAACCTTGGCTCTTTTATGACTTGTGGACTTCAACTCCCAGAATTCCTGAGCCAGCCATGCTGAGGGGAAAGGGAGGTTTCCAAGCTAAGCCAAGCTGGCTCAGGAATTCTGGGAGTTGAAGTCCATGAGTCATAAAAGAGCCAAGGTTGCCTACCCCTGTCCTAGAGCTACAGATATATTGTGAATCTGTTTTCAAGTCCTGTCAGCTTCAGCCAGCAAAGTCAGTGGTCAAAAAATTAGGAACTGTAATTGGAACAACACAGTTCAATGCTACTGATCTAGTCCAGTACTAATTATTTTGATAGGCACCTCCTTGTGTGAACTCAGGATTCAGCTTTGGATCTTGATCATTTAAGGGATGTGTTTTGGGCAGTTCAAGACAAGATAACTAGTAATAGGATAGTGGGAAGGCACTGAAGAGAAAAGGAAGAAATTGGTCTGTTTAAGTTCATAGTTTAGCCGATCTGTTGTCATAATTTTAACAGTCCAGATGGGTCTGGAAATTCTGAGATTTGTAGCTGCAGTCCATCTGAAAGACATAGGGCTGGAAAAATGAAATTGATGACTCCCATTTTATAACTATATTATGTAAGGGCACAGCTGTATTTTTTTTTAGTACTGTAAGAACAAAACCAGATAGTTTCAGACTCATACACGCATCCCTCTTTTGTTCAGTCATGATTCATCAAAACCGCTTTTAATTTATAATTACCATTTTAATTCTATCTTATGTATCTTTCATATATATTATATATTTATCTTAGACTTTATGTGGTTTTTTTTTTAGTAATAAGTGATTTTTTTTGAGAAATAGTAATTTCTTGTGAAAAGGATTTGGGAGAAAAGAACTTGCTTGTATTGGTACTTTAACTTCAGATAAAAGAAAAAAAGCAATGTTTTCAAAACACATTGACAAAATATGATCTGTTTTTGATTTAGAATGTCATATGACTCCATTCGCTGTGCTTGCAAAGGACAGTTCACTTATTAACTTACGTGAACCTACTGGCATGTAGAAAGGAATTGGGAACTCACCTGTCTATGTGAAGTTTGACTTGCATGCCTGTTGCCAGTTCCACAATTGATGTACATAAGGAGAAGTCTTCACAAAGCTGGGTTCATATCTATGGCAAAGCCATAATTCAGTTTGCTTAACTTAATGGGTAAACCAAGGTTATGATTTGTAAATGATACCTTAACATATGTTGATAAAGTTAATTGTGGCTTATATCATGGTTAAACCAATAATAGTTGACTTCATATTATGCTAGACTAATGCTTCAGTCCTACTAGACAAGATCTATTTTCAATTTGTAACGCAGGTTTGTAAATGTCAGGTAGATTGCTACTATCACATGGAGGTATTCTTGAGGGCAGATCATAGTTGTGCAGATTGATTGTGTACTGCTAGTGATCATATGTGGCTTGTTCTTAATTTTTTTTTTCTAGCATTCCCTGATGCCACGCTGAGAGTTGTACCAAACAAAGATGCATTGCAACAGCAGTGTGTAGTACAAGGAACGGTTGTGAGTATTCTTTACAGTTATTGCCTTTATAAACTGAACGAGCTGAATAAAACATTGCCTTTTCTCTTGGGACAAAGTTAGAACTAAAAAAAGGCTACATACATACATACATACATATGTAGGTCTTTGGTTATTTGGGTTTTCTCCTGCGTCAAATTGGAAGTGTCTTCGCGACGTTTCAACAAAGTCTCATTCGTCATCTTCAGGCTGGTGTTTTCGGCTTTGTGCTCCTAGAAGCATGAAGCCGAAAACACCAGCCTGAAGATGACGAATGAGACTTCGTTGAAATGTCACCAAGACGCTTCCAATTGGACGTACAAACACCCGCGAAAACCTCAGAATACACACACACACACACACACACACACACACACACACACACACACCCTATTCCTATTCCTATTGTTTCTTGACAGGATACATAGGCCCCCTATGTATTTCCCTGTCCCCCAATTTATTTGTATTCAACCTACACTTATAAGAGGTTTATATTGGGACATGATAATGTTACATGGATTTTGCAGTGATGTGGCGTCGACACAGTTGTGCTCATCCAATGGGGTCTCTCCTGTACTGTTGAGCCAATCCTCTTTGGACTCAGCTGCAGTGCAGCTCACATTGAAAACATCTGTGGAGTGTGGATATTCTTGCTCTTATTCAGTGTCCTCCTGTATGTACTAGATTTCACAGGCACTCCTTTTAGAAAAAACTGATCTTAATCCATCAAGTCAATTTCACATGCCAACTAAAAATCAAAGCAGAACTAAGAAGCTTGATGTTCTCTGTTTGCATAAACAGCCTGTAGCTTACTGTACTCTTGCCTCATTTCACTGACCAACCTCTGGGGGTTAAGTGAACCATTATTTTCCCCTTCCACAGACAGACTCATACAGGACCTACCCTGCATCCTGCAATCATGGGTTGAGCACCTGTTCACAAAATTGTGGTGACATGCCATCATTACAGCTTTTATTGGAAATTTGTACGCAGCCAGATTCAAGTCTTGACAACCTGGGCAGCTTTCCTTCAATTCCAACTGTTCAGATTTATTTTTAAAAATAGCCTGATAAAAGCACATGGCATATCCAGAAAATGGGTTATGGTTGTGCAGCTATCTATTTTTTTATCTTTTCTGTGAAATGTGGAACAAGGAGATTTGTATTACTCCTGAAGGTGCTGTAGCTTAAGAAGTTGGACTAGTGGTTTTTATATTTCTGCTAGTCAGCTGAAAGGAGCACTGATTGCCTTCTCAAGTCAACAAGAGTAAAAACAATCACACAGCTGATTTCAAGATTTTTTTTTAGAGAGATTGGATCAGTGGAAACAATGCCATCTGCAAGTGCTGTTACATAAAAATGGTTTGAGAAATAGATGACCTTCTGTTTTCCATTTAATAGGTTTATCAGTGGATAGCTGGGTGCAGATAAGCTGACAAAGATAACTTTTTATTTATAAAAATATTCATTGGCTGTTTTCTGGCTCTGAATTAACAATACAATAATATCCAATACAATAAGCAGTATGAAAAGAAAAAAGACAAAACATTAAAGTAGCAAGGAGAAGCAAGCCAAAAGCTTGTTGAAGTAAGAAAAACATTCTGAAAAGCATGTCTAAAGTTTAGGGATAGAATCTGTTAAATGTTCCTAGGGAGGATTTTCTAAAATTGAGTTTCAACAAAACAGACAGCTTGCTGTTGAATCTTGCATTCTGTTATCTTTATTTGTCCTGAATGGTGTTGAAGGGTTGTGCACAATTGAAAAGTTTCTTAGGCAGCAATGCACTAAAATAGAAAAAGTGCAGTTTGAAAAAACAGGAATAATGGGACCAACATGGTCTATATTTTGCATTGCCTCTGGGTTGGTTTTTTTTACTCTTTTCAAAAGCAGTGTCCAGTATTACAGTAATCAGATATGAGTATGTGTATTAGTGGCTGGATCTGTTTTATCCAAGGAAAGTACAGATGCAACAACTGAATGGAAAGAAAACCTTCTGGGGGGATTCTAGCCCTCCCTCCAGAAACAGCGGCTATCAACCACTTGGGAGTTTAAAACATTGGAAAAATACTGAGATCTTAATTGGAATCCTATTTCCTAAAATTGGTGGATTATAAGATTTGCAACTTTCTGCTCTCTCTATATATATTTCTTCCTTGATTTTTATTCTAATTACTATTGAAGATTTGGGGTTTTTTCCCCCTTAAAATATAGGGGGGGGGGGAAGATCCAACTAACTCTAAGATGTAACCTGCTATTCTCTAAGAGACTTGTTGACAGCTTTGAAAATAGATAAGATACAAAATAATCTTGAAACACCATTTGCAAAATTCAGCTCAGCTCCCCATTTGGTGGACTTTCTGACTGCCAATTTCTTTTTCTTGAGTTTAATATATTATAATGGAAGGAGAACAGGAAAAGATTTCTTCTATAGAGGAAGTACAGGAACAAATTCTTCGTATGTTAAAAGCGATGATCCAAACTCTATGTATGCAAGCTCTGGATATACAAACTCAAACTATGACTTCAATCAAAGAATTATCTATACAGAATTCTATAAAGAAAGTGAAACAACCAAATGTTATGATAGAAGACTTAGATACTCAACAAATACAGACAATAGAAAATACAAAAAAGAAATTGATAATAGAGAACAAGGAAAAGATGTTTCTTATAAACCAGAAGGAATTTGAAGATAAACAAGAAAAACAGATGAAAGAGAAGATAAATACTTCGGGACAACTGCATAGAACTGGAAAAATAAAGAGACTACTGGCTAAATCAACTAGTTCTCTTAAGAAAACATCAACTGGATGTTCTTATCAACATCAAACAATAACCACAATAATACAAGGAGATTTTTTTGATGATTTAAAGGCAAAAATATGAAAAATGACCTGGAAGAGGAAAAAAGCTAGAATAAGATTGAAAAAGATTGGGGTTCTGATTTATATATGAGATCTAAAATAGAATATATCTAAATAGATAGAATACGTATTCTGAACACAAGACATTTTAACAATTTGAGATAAACAAAATTTTGGTCATATAAAATCTAGAAATATGTTGAAATAAGAATATTATATTGTCATTAGATGGGTAAGATAAATGGTAGAATTTCCATATAAGGTGTGTATTTTAAATATTAGAATGTATGAGCAATTGGGATAAACGAATTATGTTTAATTAAAAATTTGGAAAAATTAAATATTAAATATATGAATGTCTACAAATAATTAAGATTTGAATTTAAGATATTGTTATGAGTTGAGACAAAGGTTAAGTAAAACTTAAAAGTATAAGTACTAATAATTAAATTTGTATATGGGTTTGTGGTATAAATGTTGGTAGTTTATTTTTAATTTTTTTTTCTCTTTCTGGAAGGGAAGAAAGGAAGGAAATAGAAGGAAGAAAAGAAAAAAAATATATTAGCTCCAAATGTGAGATAGGAGACTTAGAAATTGGGATCATTTAAAACCTGGAAATGATAAAGATTAAATGTTAAACTTAAATATCAATGGGAAATTAAAGTTAAGAAAAACTTAGTAGGTTATTGTCTAAAACAGTGGTTCTCAACCTGTGGGTAGGGACCCCATTTGGGGTCGAACGACCATTTCACGGGGATCGCCAAACAACACAGTCCGCCATTTTTCCCCCTTTTCCTTAGCTATGCTACTCCCTTTTATTCTATTGGCTTTTGAAAGCCAACAGAATAGACTCTCTTGAATAGAGTCTAATTCTATTGGCTTTCAAAAGCCAATAGGAATTGTCCAGGCTGTCTCTGCCCTGCTGAGCCCGCCAAAAGTCCCATTCTGCAAACGGTGCTGCACCAGTTGAGTAGTCCTCGACTTACGACCAGTTGAGTAGTCCTCGACTTACGACCGGTTGGGGGTCGCGGCATTAAAAAGGTTGAGAACCACTGGTCTAAAAGGTGGAATGTCAAATTAATTAAGATATGTATAGACTGAAGATCATTGATGAATACTAGAAAGGTATTTTTTGTTTGATTAATAGAATAAGAACTGTATTGGTTTGAACATGACAGTAGATATCATGGGGGAAAGAGAGGGAATTAGTTTGTTGTAATGATTTGAGATTTGTACTGATGATATTCAAATGTAACAATTACTGTGCTCAGCCGCCATGCTACTTTTCACATATGTAAATGTAATATTGTAAAATCAATAAAAAACGTGAAACTGAAAAAAAAAAGGAAAGAAAACCTTCTGGTGGATTTATTTATGTTTTAGAGATTCTATTCCCTAGAGTAAAAGCATTAGGTTGGCAGCCCAGTGGAAAGAAGAGGAATAAGGTTATTTTTACTCATTAGGCCAGGGGTGTCAAACTCAATATCACTGAGGGCAGCATCAGCTTTGCGGTTGCCCTGGAGGGGCTGGGGGAGGTGGCCAGAATGGGTGCAGCCTACTGGGTTGGTGTGGATAGAGTGGGTGTGGCCTACTGGGTGGGTGTGGCCAGTTCTACATCATTCGCATCAAGGGTGCCTATGGAGCCTGGGCAGGAGTGGGACAGATCTGAGGATCTCTGGCAGAAGGGAATGGGACCGGGGCAAATGCCAAGGCATGGTCCACCGGGGCAAGTGCCAAGATGGCCACCACAAAATTGTACATTGGCTCCTGGCCAGCCTGGGCCAAGGCCAAGGCAGCAGGGGCCGTTCCCTCACTGTTTCCAGGATGGCTTCCTGGGCCACATGAAACCACTTCGTGGGCCGCATCTGGCCCCTGGGCCTTGTGTTTGACATGTCTGCATTAGGCAGAAGAACGTCAAACTCGAAACGTACTGTCATATCAAAAGAATAAAACACATTCAATTACTTTGCATATGAAAATATGTTTTAAAAGGGTCCTCACCTCTGCAGGCAACCCAAATTGGTCTAAAATATTATTTCTTACTTGAGCAGCCTTAATAATAAATTGGGGAGTGCTGCTAACTACATTTACATTTACCCTTGAATGAAGCAAGACAATCTAATGTGAACTGTTTTAAATT